AATAAACGTCTCAGTTTCTCTGAAACTCCCGCCACACACGGAATGACGACTGGTTTGGGTCTGGGTTTAGGGTCTTCATTTTCATTTTCACCTGGTWGTTGGCTGAAATCCTGTTTGGGTTTCTTGTCTGCTTTCAGAAAAGCCCAGTTAGGATAACCACACTGCTCCAGAGCCTGTCTTGTTGTGTGACTTCTCCTTTATTCTCTAAACATGACGTCCCTGTTGTTCAGAGGGTTATGTGCCCCAACGTGACTAACCTGTTTGTCCACCATGTGGAGGCAGTGCTTATAAGGCTGAGTTCACCTGAAACTCCTCAGACTGAAGAAGTCTCTTGGAGGATAGACGAAACGTTTCACTAAAGAAGAACCCATCCAGAGGACCTACTTATTTTTTAATTTTGATTTTATCTGCCTGGATTACTGAGATGCATCACGGCAAGTTAATTCATAAAACAGCCCACGATCCCACGAGAACTTTGTAAGTATCTTTGTAAATAGGCTATAATATTATGTAGGTACCCCCATACATATACCCTACCATACCCTTTATGCACCAACTCTGTAAATATCTGTAATTGAAGACCCTGAAATCCATTTTATTACATTAGCATAATTCAATTAAGGGTTGAAACCAATTCACTTTAGATGAATTAGATAAGATTCTTGGAATAATTTTCCCATTTTCTTTTAATGTAGTGCATTTATAGTTTATTTGACAGGATTATTCGACTCTACTGAGATATTTAGCTGATATCTTCTTCTAGTTCAAATAAACGACGATAAGGTTGTGACTTGATTATAAGTTCAGACTTGATGACAGTGAGGTGGTGTCCCTGGGCTGGCTACTCGCCACACTGCAGCTAGCTAGTTACAATAAGGCAAAGTGGAAAACGTCAGCTAAAGCTAATGAAATACTCTCTGACAAACCCCAGGTTTAGATAAACTGGCTAACCATTAACCTGTCGCATGTTCAACGCTTTAAGGGTTCTGGATATTTTTCGCTTAATGGTAAGAAGCTGTTGTTGATGTTCATAAACGTTCAGATATGGAGGCTAGGTTGTTAGCTATGCTACGTTAGCACACCTTATTTATATGAGCAGGTGTTTACTTAACTTGTATATTTGTRATATAAGATTTTGTGTAACGTTTACTTTTTTTAGCCGTACGTTAATTTCTACGCATCAGCAAGCCAAATGGGTTATGCTGGCAGAAAGCTACGCTAAGGCTTAGCCTAAGCTAACTTTTCTATGGTTGCCATCATGCCGTTTTACTAGTCAGTCAGCGATGCTCACGTTTTAGTTTTATATGTCAATAAAACTATAATAGTGAGCGATTCAAGCATATACAGCTATCAGCAACATCCGTTCCGCTTGAGCTAATTTTGGCGTCCAAACTTTAGCAGGCCACGGTTAAGCCAGCGGCTTTCCTGATTCGCGAAGCCCCGGTGGAGGTCCAGTTTAGAGCCGAGGTGTTTCCCGACTCCCCGCCCCTCTGAAGCTGGAGGTGCGACGCCACCTGGTGACTAAAATCCAGCATGACAGGTGAGTAACAGCCAGATACTTTTCCCTCCTGCTCCCATCACATCCATCACAGAAAGATGTTTGACATCCACCGCCAGAAGATTGAATATATACTTCTTGTTTCGGCTGTTCCCCTGGTCAGGGGACGCCACAGCGAGTCATCCTTCTCCGTCTCACTCTGTCCTCATCCCAATCTCCATGTCCTCTGGTTTATGAAATTAGCAGATATTTYGCCTTCAGTTGCACCCACATCACATCTAAGGCCACATTCCCTGAACTTCAAGCCCACTGACTGAATGACTGTCCCACGGTGCCTCTGTTACCCAGCTGATCTCCTCCCTCTTCTCTCCGAGGCTGGATACTGTGCCTCCATTGTGTCAGTGAGATGTTTATTAATGACAGTGGGGGCAGAGCTGCAATCGAAGGATTTGTCGCTATAATCTCTCGGCTAATGCGAACAACTTGCGCTGACACGAGAACGCGACGGAGCCTCGGATAGGTGCGCACAAGTTTGTGTTCAGCTTGAAGCCTTGGTGATTTTCTGAGTCTGTGCTGATGTGAAACTTTTTTGAAGAAGTTAGTTGTCATGCTCAGACCTGCGTAGGAATTGTTTAAATCTTGGTTTTTAGTTTCCGATGTGTTTTACGTTGCCWGGCAGTAGTTTTACATAGATCGTTTCGGCTTTGGTTTAGAAGTTGCTGTTTGTGAAGGGGTAGTGTGTGTGTTTTTTTTTGCCCGCAATGTCCTTGCCTCCGCCTGATGTTCCAGCCACTCAGAGGCTGGCACTGGACTGTCGTACCCTCCTGGACCATCGCGTTGGCAAGGGTAAGAGAAAACACCACCTTCTCTGTTCTCTTTCTGGCTCACTGACATCAATAAAGAAGGTTTTCTTTGGAATTACTTTTGCATTTAGGATTAAAAATGCAGCAAAATTAACATTTCTATTGGCAGAGATGTCAAGTAACTAAGTACAAATACTTTGTTACTGTACCTAAGTAGAATTTTTGGGTATCTGTACTTGAGTGATTATTTTTCAGCCTACTTTTTACTTCTACCTCTTACATTTTCACACAATTATCTGTACTTTCTACTCCTTACATTTATAAAAAAAAAAAGCAAGAAGTAGAAAGTCATTATTTTTCTTTCATTTTTGCTTTTTTTTCATTCCAGCTTGTTATTGTAAAAAAAAATACTATCCATATAAATTGTGCCTCCAGATAGTGAATTTAAT